TCATGTATTTGCATGAGTGATTTTTTTTTTTTTTCAAATCAGCATCAAATTTCACTTCACTATGTATTGTTTGATTTGGACATTTGTTCTATCAGATCTAATGATACGTGCACAGCTATAGGTACATGCATTTGGATGTAGTGAGTGCAAATTTGATAATAAACATGATGAATATCTGTGTTAAACAAAATGATGCCACATTCTTTTAGTGATAGTTTCTATATATAAATGTTTCTCAGAATTTGGTGTTTTTTTTTTTACAAAACTGTTTCCTAAGTTTTATTGTCTTCATGAATATCTCAAGCATTAATTAATATTTGTGTTTCAATGTAAGAAAGTCTTTGTAATGTAAACAGAAGAAAATCAAGAAACTTACAGCAAACTGATGAACTGACTAAAGACTATTTTGAAAACTGATTTATCTGTTCACTTACTGTTTGTGCTCACACTTATCAGGAAGGATCAGGAGTTGCTAATTTGTTTTCTGAAGCAATTTTGATGGACTTCTCAGTCTACTTGCTATGTGTGCAGAAAGTAAATATTTTATTCAAGCATGTTCAGCTTGCACCAAGAATCAGTCATATCTTGTGTTTTCATTATTCATTTCATATAGAAACTAAAATAAATGCTATTTTTATATAATGGTAAATAATATATCTGAGACTAATGTTTACAGAAAGAGAAATTTCAATGATTAGACACAAGTATACTCGTGTACAATTAAAACACATGGTTGAAATTTTTATATTGCATCATTTGCTTCTTTGTTTCTCATGCTGCTTTTATTTGATAAAGGGGCTGGATCTGCCCCTTTTCCAACTTATTCTCATCATGCTCCCCCACCTGGAGGGGTTCCTGTTTTCCCCATGACAGGTTGGTTTTTCTTATGTGTTTTTGCCTGGATTATGGTTCAGTTGTATGTATGTGGATTCTCTTGTGTGGCATATAATATAATGTTTATTTTTATGATATTTATCTTAAACCTAGCCCAGAAATCAATCATAATTATCACAAATATTATAGCATTTTTAATGCCCCAGTGTATTATGTTTTATAGAAAGACATAGGTTGGTGTGTGTGTGTGTGTGTGTGTGTGTGTGTGTGTATATATATATATATATATATATTGTAGGTGGTAGAATGTTAAGTAGTATATTTCAAGTGTGAGTCACATAAAATGTTTGGCATTACATCTTATATAAAATTAATTTTATGTATCCTTCATATAGATCAACATCATCAAAAGTCTAAAATGCATATAGCTTGTCTAAGCCTCGGCTAAGACATATTGCTATGCTGTTTTGCTTTCTTTTTGCTTATTACAGTTTGCATGTTTAGTCTCATTAGAAAAATTAAAACCTTACGTATAACATTTTCACTGATTTTACCTCTACATTATCATTGTAGTTGTGAATTCTATAGGTACATGATTAAACCATTTTACATAATTTTTGCACATACATTGTATATATATATATAACAGTGAAGTACATTTGTTATTGTTTAAATGAGGAACTTCATATGGAATGATTAGAAAAAAAAATTAGTATTTTTGTTCTAGAAATTGGAAATTTACGGTTACTTTTGGGAACTTCTTAGGCATACTGACAAGTTCTGTTAAACTAAATGACCTTTGGTAGTTGTATAGCTTCTTCGGACTTGTTATACTTTGCAAAATGTTGTTTTTACGCTGATGTACTGTTTGACTATAATTTTTGTTTCTAGCAGTCTCCATATGAACTGGATTTTCTGAACATTATTAGGAAGATATCTGAAAATTGTTTGTAAATTGTAATGACTTGTGTCCCTCTTCTGTACACCATTTAATCAATACTTGTTTTATGTATCTGCTATTCTTATTCTAGCAGGCTATCCACCTAAATCATCTACTGTGGTTGTTGGAGCCCCTCATGCTGGACCAGGTTGGTTGCCTCTGTTTGTTTTTTCTATTGTGTGTGTGTCTGAGAAACTTTAATCCTGAATTGCAGGTGGTATTCGTTTGCATGGTAAAGCTATATGATTTCAAGGCACCTGACTAAGATATGTAAATATTTTAATTTAAACATATCTTAGTATATCATATTCTTGAAACAAATTGTGCTTAAGTCTCATAACTAAATGTTCTACAATAGAAGGATGATTTAAGAAATGGAAAAGTTATATTTTTGCATAAAGATGAAGGAATGTTGCTTTTATGTAAAGAAATATTGTAAACTGGAAAATAACATTAATGTCAGCCAAACTCTTTTAAGTAATATGTTCGTATATCAGATATTTTAGTATTTTCAAACAAATAGTGAATAACTGAGAAAATAATATTGTATACAAAACTCTCAAAAGTACCTTCTCACAGTTGGCTGCAAATGATAGTTGTACATGTGGGATGTTGTGGAATTGAATATATATATATATATATATCTTCTTCTTCTTTTTATTCTTCTTTTTATTATTATTATACATTTGAGGCTTACAAACAGAGGTTAAATTAAGTAAAAGGCTCAATGTAATTCTGAACTTTTTTAGCAATGATCCAAGTCCAAGAAAGTAATATTCTTGTTTCTTTTTTGTTGATGTAACATTTTCAGTACTTTTCAGTTATCCAATTACATTTATCCCCCCCCCCCCCCAGTGTATTTGATATATAGCATTTAAAAGTAGTTTTATGATTTTATAAATTAAGTAATTTAAATATTTCAATATGTAGTTTCTGGACACTAGAAAATTATAGTTACAGAAGAGTTTGTGTTAGAAACAATGATTTAGAAGTTTACTTTCATGATGTCAGAAAAATACATAGGTTCAGTAAGTCTTGATACAAAATGATAAAAACCCTATAACCCGAGTGCTTTCAAAAGGTGGACCTTTCTTCTTCAGGGACAAAGTTCACTTGTTAACAAGCAGATACATAAGATGTGAATTTTTATTTACAGAATTAAAGTATGTAAATACTAATTTTACTGAATATTAAGGTGACAAGAATCTTTTTTCATAAAAGGCAAATAAATTATGATTAAGCTTTAGTGTTAGCTGCCCTATTATCTTATAAAGTTAATAAATATGCTTTTAACTTGCTTAAAAATAATTTTAATTAGAAACACTTGGCTATTAGGTTTGACATCAGTGACTGTGGTTAATATGGCTCAATGGGGTCCTTACCCCATGCAGATGACCTGTCCACATTGTGCAGCCCAGGTTATGACTGAGACTACTGCTTCCCCTGGTCTTTTAACATGGATTTTATCTGGTTCCCTCATTTTTCTTGGGTGAGTTGACAATTGGTTGTATGTAGAAAAGTACTAGTTGGCTCAATGCTCTTACTTTCTCGAACTGTTGAAGTGTTGCAGTTCATTTATATTACTAGAGGTGAGAGTTCTTTACTTTTATATAATTACTTCAATGAAAATCTACTAATTTGATATTTAGCAGAAAATGTTCAAGACAATTTTAAATAAATCTTGACTAAATCACACAGAAAGTGAAGGTGTAACAAACAAAATACTGTACATATTAAAATAGTTACTGAAGTTATAAATATTCATAATAGATCTTGAAATCTAACATGTTAACAGTCAAAATGTATGAATTGTTTTTATAGCTGTGTTGGCACCACTGCCATTGATTATAGCTTACCCGATAGCTCATTATTTATGACCAGAAAATCAATAGTTGTTTGCACTATATCTTTTAATACTTTTTTAAAGCAAGTTTTTGATTAAAATAAAGATTAAAACCTTTGGTATGTAACATCAAAAGATTATGGCCCATAAACTTAACATTGTAACTAAAAATCTAAAATGCACAATATATGTTGTAGTATTATTGGCTTTAAAAAAATTAAAGAAATTTCACATGAAAGCTAACATTGGGTGTAGTTTTAACACTGAATATTTACTACAATCAAGCATAGTTAAGCAGACTTCAAAAAAATTAACTATCCAAGTTAGTTTAAAATGTATTCGGTGAAACCAGAAAAATTTATAGAGTTTATCCGAAGTTCTGAAACTGCCATTAGAAAGTAGTCAGATGAATCAATGGAATATCTGCAGGATTTCTTTTAGCTCTGATTTATAAATAAAAAAAGTAATTATAATATACTAAAGGACATTTTAATTTGTGTTTCTTTGGCTTATAAGAATTCTGAAATATCATTTCAACCGTTTCAGCAAAAATCTGAATTCTTAACTTTTGTCAAATTAACTGTTCTTTTCAAGCTTTGTAGTTAGTAATAGGCTCAGAAATAATGCAAATTTATCACCAGTAAAGTATATAATTAGAACACTCAAATAATTAACTTTTTTTAAGCACACAATTAAAACTATTCTGAGACTGTCAATGATCTCAAAACAAACACTGTACATGTTTTGACATAGAATTACATCATCCTCAGGAGTGCAAAATAAAAATCAGTGCAAATAATTGTTTTTGTTTTGAAGACAAATTATGAATGGGTAATGTCCCAGTCATTTAAGTCTTAGATATAAGTTTAACAAAAACTTGTGTGGAAAATTCATTTTTTGATTTACTAATAAGATCTATAAAGAGACCAAAGGCCTAACCATGGATTATCCATTGTCTCCCTTGTTGTGTTCTTTTCATGGATAGGTTTGAAACTCGTGCTTTACTGAATGCTAAATTTCAACTAGAAATATGTATTAGGTATGTTGGAAACACTTTTGTGGTGTGGCGGTATGGTAAAGAAAACGTGATAGATTTGGTAATTACTTGAAAAACTTAGAACCTGCTCTTGTGAAATTTAAGAAAATAAGTTAGAAACTACTGTTTAAACCCTTTTCTGTTATTATACTATCACACCAAAAATCATGTCATATGAATTCACAAAAAATGTCAGCTTTTTATTCTTATACTTACAGGTTTTAAAGCTATGTTTTAAACAAGAAGACTTAAAAAATGAACTTTAATCAATTAAGTTTGTAGCATTATATAGGGATTTTTCACCTATTATTGTTGGTAGAGCCATGACAAAATTTAGTAAAATTATGAATTATGAGCAAAAAAACTAAAATCAACATTTGATGAAATAAAACTAAAATGTTATCTCTACCATGCGTACCAGGTTTGTCATGTCAAATTTTTCAAAAATTAAAAAAAAAGTCTGATTTATAGATCTTTGAATAAAATTAGTCCAATATTAGATAAAATTAAAGATGCAATTAAGGTAAAGGAGAAAATGGGTATTTAGAAAATTAAATGTGAATGCAGTAGATTATACATTGGTCATACTAAAAGAAATTTAGAATAAATAAACATGAATGAAGTTTTAAAAATACAAGTTAAAATTCTACACTAGCTGAATTTGCAAGTCATACTGGTCATATCATTCAGTGGGAAAAACTGTTATTTTGGCTCACTCAAATGATATGGTGGCTAGAAATATCAGAGAAACTATAGAAATAATGAAACACCAAAAATAATTATCGTATATTAAGTGAGGATGAAAGGTTGGAAAGTTAGAAAGCATGCAGATGATATGACCTTAATTAATTTTGTATGTAATATAAGTAGTCACATGACCAATGGCTTTCTTTTTTGTGTGTACAGTTTGCAGTGTCTTTGATTTTATACTCTTGAGGATGACATGATTTGATGTCAATATGTAGAGTGTGTGTTTTGAGACTGTTGACTGTCTCAGAATAAATATTTTAAGTGTTGATCATTTGAATGTTTTAATTATTTATATTTACACAAGTATCTTGAACTTTAACCTTTTAGAATCAATAAAGTATTTCTAAACAATGTAATGTTTTTGTTTGTCATATTTTTTTAAATGCAAATACATTTTAGTTACTGTTAGGTGTACTATCTTTAAACAGGTGTTGGCTTGGATGCTGCTTGATTCCATGTTGTATTCCAGAATGCCAAGACATTGAACATCGCTGCCCTAACTGTAAGCATCACTTGGGGTCATATCGGCGACTCTGAACATCACCAATTTATTGCTCTGTTGCTTGCTTGAATTTCAAATCTAGAATGTTTTAATTATGAAAAACAATAAACAAACATTGATATTATTAATGAAGAAACTGTCATTGTATGGTTTTTGTTGTAACTAAATACTGAAAAATCTTATGTTTTTTTGTAATTGTTATACAGATTTTTGTATGATTTTTTGATGAAGGAATTATAATTATTTGCAATATATGATAGCATTTGATATTTTAAGTTTCTCAACAGAAATTATGTATATGGTGGTTCTATTACTATGTAAAATATTATATACTTTTTTTAGTACGTTATGTGAAATATAGGTGATAATGTTGAAGTAAAGATGATTTGGGTAAATATAAAATGTATTTAACACACATTTTAATTTTTTGTTTCATTTAAGATACATTAGTGAAAATGGAAAATTATGCATTTTACAAATTATCAGTCACATTCCATTTGCCTGTTTAAAAATAATTTTGATAATTTATGATGTGGAAAACTTTAAGCTAACAAAATTGAAAATTTCACAGTCGTACGAATACAGTGTTTAAAAAGTTAATTCCAGTTATATTTTTTCTTGTAAAAGTAAATATAAACACTACAGCTTTAGTCCATAGAAGAAAATAATAGTGAGTATTGTGCAACAAAGAAAAGGAGTTACATTATTATTATTAACTTGGATAATGAAACAAATGTTGTAACTACATATATTGGTGTTAGTGCCTTTTACAAATAATGAAGAAAAATGGTATTGATTATTCTGTGGACTGCATTTGTACAAGTTTAAAAATGAACAACATTTGCTCTTTACTGAAGTCTTCATTACTTATATATAAACATAAACAGTTTAAAAAGTAATGAAGAATAAGTTTAAATATACTTAAGGTTTTGCATATTTAGAAAACTGAAAAATGATGAGTAATTTTTAAACACTGTTTAAATTTTGCCTGGTTATACTGAAATTGCTTTTATTACAAAGTATAATTAGAACAGTGTATTTTGAAGTTTGCATAATTTTGAAATGACCTCTATCAAAAATGTGTACCTTTAAAATTTTCTAAATTTCAAATATGGTTTTGAATAGGTAAGTGTAAAAAAAAAACACTAGTCTTTAAGCTTAGTGTAAAATAAATTTGTAGTTCCCTATGAGTTTTATCTTATAAGGGGTTTTCTCTGACAATCTTACCAAGTTTTAGTTGTGAGTGGTAATTTTCTGATTAATAGATGTATATCTGTGTATTTGTTAAAATCTGTACTTAGCCTTTACACAAATCTAAGTACCTATACAACATCCATTTTGTTCATATCTTTGATTTTTATTCTGTTTTTGCTACCGTTATAACTTACTTGCACCAAAATATATACATATATAGTTTATATATCTCTGGTGGCACAGTAAATAATTTTCACACGAAGTATTGTCTTGAAGCAACTATCATGTTACTTTCTTTATAAGAAATAGCTAAATTATGTTTCTTACTTAACAATGGTTACACACTTTGTGACCTGAAGTGTTAATACTTTGTATTACAAACAAGTTTGATTCATTCAGATAGCCAGGATATTTTTGTTAATGGTAGATTATCAGATGGCAATTTTTGTATTGTTCTTTGATGCTAAAACTAGAATTATAAGAAACATATTTGCAACATGGTCCGAACTTTGTGTTATTTAGTTGGTCCTGATAGTTAGGTGGTCTGTGGGTTGACTAGAATACCAAAAAAATAATTTCAACCTTTTTTTTGTATTTTACCTTCTCATCAAATGTGTATTTCTATAATATTTCCAAGAAACGTAGTTGTATTTTCGTCTGGTAAAAGTATATTTACTTGAACCTCCTAGATGGAGCCTCTAGCTTTCTGGGATCTCTGGCCTATTTTAAACATTATGGGAAATCCCTATGATGTCTGAAATAAAAAGGAGGTTCCTGGAATATGTGAATGTTGTGATTGATCCAGATGAAGTATGATGAATATTAACGTTTCTATGGAGAAATATATTGCATTTTTGTCACTATTCAAATAGTAATCAAAAGTCACATGATTTATTTGTGTGTGTGTGTGTGTTTATCTGAATTAATATTATCATCATGTACATTCCAAGAGTGATATAATCAAAAACAGTTGTTTTCAGTTGTTTAATGATACACATACGTGCACATTCGTATTTGCAATTATGTCTTTCTTTAAAAACCTATCTGCAATTTATAAAATGGAATTAACATTTACATACATGTTCTTGGAGTGGACCAGTTGAAATGTTGCTAATTTGGACTCTGATTTGCAGGAATATTAGGCTTTCTTGAACACATGAAATTACAAAATTTGGTATCTCTGTTATATAGTAAATAAAACAAATAAGATATTAATATTCATGTAGTTGGTTTCAATTTCTAAATCAAGTTGTAATGTAATACATTATGTATTAAAATTTCACAGCATTCGAATGGGAGTAAAAGAAATACTATTGACACCCAACCTGAAGAAGGTAGCAAATATACAGGATGAAAACTCAAAATAGTAACTTACTGGTTATATAAAACATATTAATAAAACGCAAAACCTTGAAAAAATACACAACATCAAATAATATTTAAAATGACTGTCAGGTTTTATATATGGGCTGGATTTGTAGTAGGTGTCTGCGACTTATTGGTGATAAATTTCAACAGTAAAGAAACAGCACACAGTTCATTTGTTTTAAAATAATATATTAAAACAAGTCAAACATATATATATATATATATATATATATATAAATGTTCGTTACGCTGTTGGTTATCAAATGTGTATTCAGAGCTTTAAATAGTTCTCTTTTTCGTTAAAGTCCACACGGGCTGATTCATTTACTTTACCACACAATTGACAAGACAAGTTATTTCTTCTGTACTCTGTTATAATTTCACTATAAAAATCGCAACTTTTCGTTCTTTATGGCTGAACTCACAATCACGCAGTCCTGATTTATCTATCGAACTAAATTTCAGACGTGTATTTTTTACCCCGACAGAGGTCTAGAATGTTCCACACGCTACTAGATATTATCATACAGTAATAATCAATTAAAAAGAACGAGAAAAAAATCAAGGTTCTAGTAACATGACTTAACATCACCAGTTCATAACTATTAAACTACAAAACTCACGTGCTCATAAACAGTTATGTAAACAAACATGCGATAAACTAAAAGTAACTAAATTTAATACTCCCGCTATATAAACTATCTAAATCGTAACACTTGCATTAATCTGAAACAATCCTGTATATCTAACAATGAGCCCCTCTTCAGGTAAAATATTTTTTTATACAATAAACAAAGACTGTTTTCAGTTCATACAGTCTGCACCAACATTTGCAATCCCCTTCAAAGTGAAACCGGTAGTTCTTGAGGTACAATGCCCACCTCGTGATCATCGCACTGTCGATTTTGTACCTCTGTATGATGAACTCCTTCCCATAGAGGTAGTTATGGAATTTTTGGATGGCAAATATGATGGCCAGACTTGTTCAATCACAGAATAGTTCTTACTACTAAACAGCTTATTACTGACGTATATTATGGAAAACAGTTCGTCTACATGTTCTTGCAGAATTACTGCTACAATTCCAACCTCTGATGGTTCAGCCTGAACTATGAATGGTTTGTTGAAGTCTGATATTTTAAAGATAGACAAACTTCGTAACATGTTCTTCTACCTCTTCTCCTGTCTACAGTTCTTTCAATATCTGCATTGGACCTCTTACTATTCTTCTGTACAGTAACTCGAGATTGAAAATTCTGTACTTGCTTGTGAGACTTATCGAGGGGCAAATAATACTGCCTGCAGGTATCTGTCCCAATCACGTGGTCTCTCTGGCACATCATCATCATGCTCTTTGATACTGTTGATTCTCTCACAAAGTACATTACATCTGTGATGGTAAAGAACTGCCTAGCACTGATGAGTCTGCACACCTCTTGCATCAGTTGTGAAGTAAACTGGAAAGCTTACTCCACAGAACACTTCCATGAGGGCTTCTGCTACTCTCCACCTCCATCTTTGACAGTGCTATAGCTTCTGGATAATGTGTTGCATAGTCGATTACTGTTAGCACATACTGCTTGACCTCGTTAGATATAGATGATTGTGTGGACCGATCAAGTCTAACTGCTCTGATAAATGGTTCTTTTATGAGTGGCATCTCACCCAGTGGCAGGAAGAGTAAGATAGCACTGTGAAGTGGCTGGGAGGGCTCAAACCCCTGTCTTTCTATTCTTATGCCACAAAGTGTCCTTTTTCTCAGTCATAAAAAATATACACAACTACTAAAAGATAAGCCTGATTACAATATGTGTACCAGAGGCAACCCATAGTCTACCCTAAACCCCCCCCCCCCAACAAAGAAAAACGTCTTGTCTTGCGATGCTTGAAAAGTGTCCCTTTTTGTCAGTTAGGCCCTACCCTTTTAATGTCCTCTGCACTTTACTGAGATAGTATGATATTAAAGATTTTCAGAGGGTTTAATTTATTGTTTTTCTGTAACAAAACAGTAGTGTTAAGTTACTCTGATTAATATATTATAAATATATATTTAAGCAAACGGGAACGTACTTGAAGAAGCGTGAAATTTTTGTAACAAGACTAAATCATGAAAGTAAAGACCTTCCGCATGAGTGGCTGAAATAAAGTATCATTTTACACTATTGAATTTGTGATACGTAATATATCTCGTTAACTCTTGAAACTTTGTGTGAACTAATTATCTGGTTTCAATCAGCTGAACAACACGAGACTCTTAAGATTTTTAAACTACTTTCTCGTGAACTTTATTTTAATAATAATAAGAAGAAAATTTAAAGATGAGCAGAATATTAGTTATTTCTTACTTGTAAAGAAAACAACATTGTGTAATTGACACGAAAGCAAAGTACGGTCCACTATGGGGAATCGAATCCCGGATTTTAGCGTTGTAAGACTGTAAACTTACCGCTGACCCAATATGGAAAACATTAGATGGACAGTGTATTTTAGCTTCCAGTTTATGCTAAGAGCTTTAGAAATAGCATAATATGAAGGTGTTTGCTAAATATACGTTTTACTATTTTAAACACAATTCGTTGATTTTGGACATATTTAATATGGGATATATGTATTTTTCACCGTGTTTCAAAATGTTGATTGTTGTCGTTGTTGTCTGAGAAAAATAAGGTTCGTCGAATCACGTTTACAAAATAATTAAATAGTCTCTACAAACTCATTCATTGATTGATGCCCTCCGAGATAATATAAAGATCTAACAAGTCAATTTGATATACTACATGCTTTAAAACTGACTAATTTACTTTACAGAAGGTGTTAGCAGACTAAGTTTAGAAACGAAACAAGTCATATGTAATATGCTTGGCATAACAGAAATATTTTAGCAGTTTGAATATGCCTTGCATGGCTTAGCGGGTGTTTTCCCTCCACTCCTCCCATAAATCCTTCATAGTGAAAATGCTAATTAAATGACCACCAAGGGCGTTAATTACAAAGTTCCTAAGTTACACGATGATGGTCTTTGAAAAGTGGGACGTACATAATAATCTACCATATGCATGAGTTTTTAAAATCCAACTACCAAATATTTAATTCGCTGAAACAGTTCACATATTCGTCATAACAAAGTTAAACATATTGTTACGTCTCCGTTTGTTAATTGATTTTTCCGTAACTTCGTTCCAACTAAACTT